AGAGAGAGAGAGAGAGAGAGAGAGAGAGAGAGAGAGAGAGAGAGAGAGAGAAAGAGGAAAGAATTGTCATTTTGGGCTGTACTACTTTGTTCTTGGTGCTTCTTTATGCTAAAAGTGAAATAAAGACTACCGAACTCATGGACCGTATCATTAGGACCAGGTCATGACCCGTTTTTCTTTACCTCTCCCCCCTTCCCCTCCCATCCCTCTCGGCCCATAGTGAAATCATTTCTAACAGTTCAAGAGGAATATTTGTGAATAAGGGACCTAAAGGTTATCTGGTTCCACAGAGGCTTGTTGCAATTGAAGCTTTTCTCATACTGCGATCCCTTGAGCTAATTTGCATACAGTAAAGAAAGCGATGCTGCGGCCAAAATATTTACACGCCCGGGTCGCACAACCTAAGCAAATTAAATTACAGGGTTCTACTCGACGACTTGAGCATGAATATAAGACAGTGTTCTTGCAGACTGTGATAGTCAAATCTTTCCACAGGGTCCGTGAACTGAGCTTATTACACTTCTGAGATTGTAGGGAATATATATTTCACTATACTGGAAAAGGTTAGGAGGTAAGTAAGAACCGTACAACTTGGTCCAAAAATGTTTGTGACTTGTATTTCCTTCTCTCTCTGTTCCTTTTCTCTTTCTTTAGTATATGTGTATTCAACTTCTATTTTCTACTTAATTCTTTCAGCCTATTATTTTTTTTGCTTTCTAAATTTCGTATTTAATCATTTTCGTTCTTTATTTCTGTTTTCTCTCTTACTTTCTTTCTTTCCTTCTTTCTTCCTTTCTTTCTTCATTTCTTTCTTCCTTTCTTTCTTCCTTTCTTTCTTCATTTCTTTCTTTCTTTCTTTTTTTTCCTTTTTTTCTCTCTTTCTTTGTTTTCTTTCTTGCCTTCTTTCATTAACCTTTTAAACAGGTTTCACTCTGTCTATGTATCGTTCCTTGTTTTTCCTTTTCTTGTTTCTTTCGGTGATTCTTTCTATTTTTCCCCCTTTTTACTTTCTGCCTCCCTTAATTGATTTCTTTTGTTTGATGTTGTTCTTTCCTTTATTTTTTTTATTTTTTTAAATTTTAAAATCTTTTTTCTGTCCCTTTTTAACTTTAAAAGACAACATTTTTTGGTCTGTCTTTTCTTCTTTTTTTCTTTTGATACAATTTTATTCTTTTTTACTCTCTTTCTTTCTTTCATTTTTTTCCTTCCCTCCCTCCTTTCTTTTTTTCTTTCTTTCTTTCTTCTTTTCTTTTTTTTTTTTTTACCTTACCACACTTCTTTCTTTCTTTCTATTTTTTGAATTTTTCATTTTTTTTCTTTTCTGTAGTTCCTATTTTTTTCTTGTTCCGTCTTTTTCTCATTTGCAATCCTCCAATTTCTTTCTTTCTTTCTCTCTTTCTTTCTTTCTCTCTTTCTTTCCTTCCCTCCACCTTTTACCGTCGGCGTGGAAGAAGAAAAGCTGGTTTTCTTTTAGGTTTGTCTTACGATTCCACTGACAATGATTTTTATCTTAAAGTTTAAGGAGGCTGGCTGCGAACTTCAGATTAACACTAACTAAGACTAGTATACAGCAGCCCCACCCAAATCCGAGTTAATCAATAGAAACTTTCTTCTACGTCGGAATCGAGTTCGGGTCATCTGTGTGTGACGTCGAAGTGTTTAGACGCTACACCACAGAAGAAGAAGAAGAAGAAGAAGAAGAAGAAGAAGAAGAAGAAGAAGAAGAAGAAGAAGAAGAAGAAGAAGAAGAAGAAGAAGAAGAAGAAGAA